AAATAGCTATAAATAATGTATAAATACATGAAATTGTATATTTTGATGGTACATATGAAGAAATATATTACAATTAATATAACAGAATGTATAAATATCATACAATTTTGTTGATATGCATCAATCAACATTCCAAGAAACATATTATATAGATTTTTATAAATTAATACATACACAAAGTCATTATTATCTTATTTTGTATTAAAGTCTAAGGCACAAAACATAGGCAACTATTATATTTCAATTATTATATCATTTTTTCTATTGTACTACTTATAATTTTTAACATTAACAAAAATGTTAACTAAAAATTAATTCTCAAAATTTTGGTAAACAATAAATATGTTATTATAAAATGAAAATCAAAATTAATTGATAATTTATAAAAATATATAATCCTAACTTAAAATATATCAAATCTATTTAAATTTCAAAGATATATATTATATGAAAATTCACAAATTTTAATTATTACAATAATTATTTCATTATTAATATTTTTATTTTTATAAATTTCTAAAATAAAAAATAATGTTTTAATATAAATATAGATTAGTGGATTTGATAGATTCAATTTATATTACATTTTTAAATATTTTATAAATAATATTTTTATTTCTATAAATAATAAATACATGTTTATTTAATGAAAATTAAAATATTAATTAATAATTTATAAAAATTTTGGGATATATATCATGTGCATATTAGTAAATTTTAAGTATTAAAATAATTATTCTATTTTTAATATTTTAAAATGTCTTTAAATTAAAAATCAACCTTTTGATATAAATGTGGATTTGGTAGTTTATTTATTCTATTGGTTTATAAAATATTAATTTTAAATATTATTCTTTTTAATTTGTAATTGGAGTTGTTGAAGATAAGTGCATGTTAGTTGTTGGGATTTTATGTAACTATTAAGTAATAAAAGTTAATGTATTCCATTTATTAACATGAAAAAAAATGTTATCTTAGGTTAAAGATGGAATATTAATTAGCACTAGGCGAGTTGTGGTCTTGGGTTCAAGTTGTGCTAACTGCATTTTTAATATTGAAGTTTTCAAACAAAGGTTCGATATGCCACCGTTGATGTGTATCATGCAGTATCAGCATACGCATCAATATGGTGGCATACCGATACACGCCCCGTACTGGGCATACCATATTGATATTTTAATCCTTGATTAGAACTTGAGTACATTAATTTTTTATTTTTAGGGTTATCCAATGGGGCTTTGTAAATTAGTGGGTCCTAAATGAAAGAAACCTGTATTTGTGTTTTGATATTAGTATTTCGTCAATGATTCTCAAGCGGTTCATTTACCTAAATAATACCCTCGTGATAACACATGACACATGACGAGATAATATTGTCCCTTTAATAATGACACTTTCAAATGGTCATTGTATAAATCATGGTTTTTGGCTTGCTGTTGACTCAGATGGTTGGACCGTTCAGGCAACCGGTACCATTTTACCCCAAACTTGATCTCTGTCCAAAAACTATTGAATCAGTCAATGACCTATTGACCCGGGCAGTCGAATCATTGACCTATTCAACGGTTTTGACCATTTATTATTATTATTTTTTAATTTTTGTTGTTAGAACGAACTCTCCGTTTGAACTGAACAGTTGAACCATCGACCCAAAAACCAGTGGTCAGAATGGTTCTGTTTCCGAATCATTTTTAAAAACTATGGTATAAATTTACTTTAAAAACAAAAAACAGTAGTAAGTGCACTTATGCGAGCAAGTGTTTTCTGAAAAACATTTGCTTCAATAAATGCATTTACCCATATATATATAACTTATCACTTTAACAAACAAGGCTTACATTAATCATATGGATGTAGATTTAACCTCATGCGGTTTGATTATATATATATATATATATATCTGTGTGTGTCTTAAAAATAATTAATCTTTTTAATTTTTTGTTATTATGAAGGCAGGGTTAAATACGAATCTGAAATCCAATATGTCGGTTTTGGATCCAAGATCCAATATAAATCGGATCCAATTACATCCCTATGGGTAGGGGTGATCATGGATCCATACGGGCCAGGCCTGGTTTAGCACTAATGATAATGACATTAAGTTAGGCTTGGGACCAGCCCGGCCGGTATCCTGGGCCTAGATTGTAAGTCCAAGCTCGGCCTGGACTTACAGGCTTTTTTCGGGCCTAATGATTAATGATTTTGGGCCCATGACATCAAATAATAAAAATATAATTATTTCTTTATTTATTTTTTTTAAATTAAATAACATGGATATAGAAAAGATATAATATCTGAAAAACAAGTAAAAAATAAACTAGGTTTAACTATGCTTCAGGTCTATGGCACAAAAAATAAGACATAAGTCTCGTTTAATTGCTAGGCTTGATTTAGTTTAGATTATCAATTTTATATACTAAACTAAGCCGGGCTTAAAGTATTAAGCCTAAGCCCGGCCATGATTTTTTGGGTTTGATGTGGGCCCAAACCCAGGCTGGGCCTACACACAAAACTCTGGACTCAAGACTGAAAATTTGTGGGCTGGGCCTCGCCGGGTTTTCCGGGTCAGGCCAAGAATGATAATCCCTGTTTAGGCTATAGGTATTTTTGCTTATCATGTTAATAAAACCACCACGTGGCCCCTACCTTCTCATTTTATTTGGCTCTTTCTGCCACCCACTACTATAGAGAAAAGCTTGGATGTTTGGTGAAAGACATGGACTGTTTTGAAGCTTCGTACATATGACGCGTTACCCTATTTAGTCTTTTAATTGTCTTGTTAATTTAAGAAATATTGATTGCAATTAATTCTTTTTATCGTAATATTGTCATATACGTGGAACTTCCAAACAGCCCAACCATTTTTGTCATTTACTCTTGATAGGTTTATGTAATTAATTCATTGTAGACGCACCTGTTTGCCTTGCCAACCTCTCTTGTAGCTATATGGTTATAGAGATCACCTTCATCCATGAATCACAAGCAACTAACCATTTATGGTTACGAGTATTGGCACTTCAATATAAGGCCATTTACCCAATTGTACCAGTTGATTGGTTATCACTTTTTTGTGGGCGTTAATAAGTTTAATTAGGGATGCAAACGGATCGGATCAGATTCTAATTAGAGTATATTCAAATCCGATCCATGTTGGATCTGATCCAATTTGAAAATTTGTTTAGATAGAAATCGATAAGTTGGATTTTCGGATCTGATTCGATCTAATTTAAAAAAAAAAATTAATAAATTATTAAAAGAAAAATAAAATATACTAATTTAAATAAAGTAAAAACAAAAAATAAAAGTATTTTTTAATTATTTTATCATATATATACAAGATTTTTATAAAAAATAAATAATATAACAAATTTATAAAAATATAATATAAAAAATATTTATAAATAAATAAATAATATATATATGTATTATATATATATATATATATTGCATCAGATTTTTTTGGATCGGATACGGGTGATTAGAAGATCCGAACAAAGGCGATCTGAATTCGACCAAATAGGATCGGATCCGATCCATTTGCACCCCTAAATGGGCCCTTGACTCCTAGGGCCCAAACTCACTCAAACTCTCGCTCACATTCACATACTCTGTGCGTGAGTGCGCACGCATGTGTGTTGAAAAAATTTAGCCAATCAGAAACCCATTTGAATTTGAATGCATACCAATTGGGTTGGTTATCAAAATTGAATTCAACTAGGAGAGTATCTGATTCCGAGTCAATTAATAAACAGATAATCTGTTTATAACAAAAATTTTCAGTATCATTGGCGGGGTTGTAAGTTTATAACTTGTAATTTAAAGAGTGTTTTTTCTTTATTTTAAAGATGGTAAAATAGAGACGGATTAAATCCAAAAATTCAATGGGTTACTCCTACCCTTATCTCCACCCAAAAAATTGGCTATTCATTATGGTGATGCTTGGTATTGTGGTTGTTTCTATTTGAAAACTTGCCACATCCCGGGGCATTTTGAGTTTAAGCATCATATTATTTTTCGGTGTGTGTGTGACTGAGACTTTTTTGAGTTAAAAAAGTCATAAAACGTTTTTACTTGAAAATGCACTGAATACTAGCAGAGATGGAATTATACAATCCAATAACCATAAACCCTACCTCCAAAACAGTTTTTTTTTTTTTTTTTGGTTCTATTCTCTAGAACCCTTAGATTTGTATTTAGACATTAATCTGTGCAATAACTTTAAATTTGACAATTGGATAAGAGTCAATGTAGTAGGGTAGTGTGACATTGAATATAAACATTTCATTTAAACATTTTACATTATAGGTAGCAATGACAATACCAAACACAATGCTGTTCAAAACACTTGTTCAATTCCTAGTCAACCAAACAAATTACATGCCAAAACGCCTTTCCATTGCCTCTTCAAATGTTTGAGCCTATAGTACCAAACACAATCTATATCAACCATAAATACTACTAATACTATACTTTTTGAAATAACCACCATTTAAATTGTTTAAGCTTTATAGCATTAGAAACCCAAATATATCAATTGAATTTTTGGTTTATTTTGAAATACTAGAAGAGACCATCGTGATGCGTATTAAAAGTTGCCCATTGTTGATGAGTTTAAATAGCCTGGAAAAGCTTATGTGGAGCAAGACCACTTTATTTATATATGTTCTAAAAAAATATATTTTAAAATTTTCAAAGTTTCTACCAAAGTGGTATCCATCCTGACAAGTCCTATGAAGTGCTATAAAGTGGGCTCCATCCTCTCCGTGCATTCAAAGAGAGGATCAATTTGTCTTGATCTTTCATTTTATAGATTGATATCAGAGGATCCCAATTTGGTATTAATAGTTTAATACTGCATTATCTATAACCAGTCAGTGATTCTTGAGCTCTCTGCCACAAAATCTATCCTTCAATCTTCTTTTCACTCCCCCTATAATCCCTTAATTCTTTTGGCTTGTATGTAGAATTGGTAAAACCTAAAGAATAACAGATGATGGTAATGAACGATGTTAAAAAAAAACAGAATTATGATTTATGACTTGTCACCAAAAAACACAATGGCAGTCAAGTCATATTACTTGGTACAGAGAAACAACAAAGTAAACAGAGAGATGCAGTGCTTTACGCAATTGCAACAAACTTACCAAGATCCTACTAGTTAATACTTCTATTTGCTTCCCTACAACTTAAAGATACATGTAGAAATGTGAAATAGACAGTACAGGGCATACAAACCGCAGTTTAAGCATTAGCAGTCGGGGGGTGGCATGTATTAATTCCATCCTTGCAGTCACTTGTGAGATCATTGAAAGTCTCAATCTGCTTTTTTCCCCTCAAGAATACCTCTGTATCAACTGAAATCCTCATATAACCATCAAATTCCACTGGAACCCCGTTATTAAGCTTTGTGGTCTCCAAATACCAGTCACTGTTCTCATCCCAAAGATCCTTGTACTCATCAAGGAAATGAGTGCTGTACTTGTCCTTCAGAGGGTCAAAGAAAGAAGTATCTGGTTCGTCAGTGGCAATATATAGATTCCTCCCATCCTCAATCTTGTCCTGCAGAGATGACATTATTGCTTCAGGTCTAGTATCGGCTTCCAAGTTTGGCCAAAGTTCTTTGTTTCTTGCTTTCTCTCCCCTGACTACATGAACAGAGTCAAAATCCCAATTCGATCTTGCAGCAATTGCTGATACTATGTCCATTAACCGTTGAGACTTCCAGATGAGGTGCCATGGTCGCTGGACAACGGACTCAGTCTCTCCTTCACACACCCTATACCAGTAATTATCAGGCTCCACGGACCCAAACTTCCTCATGATCAAAGTATCCCTCGCTTCAGTAAGCTTCATTGGTGTTACCCTGAAATCTTCAACAAGATAGAGGGTCAATCCATCCCGCTTCTGCCATTTTCCCCAGTCCTGCCAAAACTGGCTCTGGTCCAGGACAGATGCTGTCTCCTTCAAATGCTCAAAATCAAAGTAAAATCTGAAATCTTTTCCTTCCTCGTCCTGTTTTGACGCTGTGTATATTGAAGACAAACAAATATTCAAGTCCATAACCAATGTCCGATTCAGGTACTGGGCTTCACCGAGGGCACACAAGAAACTCCATAAGTAATGGTTCATGCTCTTGCATCTGTCTCCACCACCAGTGTAAACCAGATACCTCCCACGGCTAAATGACCCTTCAGATTCAATAACAGGGAGAGAGTCATTTACAATTTCCCCCACCACAGGCAGATTGATGGTCTCTTGCTGCTTTGGCTGCTGCTTCTCAAACCCAGGTTTCTGATGCTTCTTCTTTTTCCTGGCATTTAATCCCGAGTGATATTCTCCTATACCAATCACAGTATGGTTACAGTTTTCACTCCTAGAGATGACGAACCTTCGATAGTCCTTGTAGAAGGCAGCAGCTTTTCCTTCCTTGGGTCTAAACCGCCATGCCATGTCACAAGTGCTATCATTGGATCCGGCAACAGATTTCCCAAAACGGTAGAAATGGATATCCTTGAAGTATTCTATGGCAGTTCTCATCATCAAATGGAAGATCTCAGGATCTGTGCAATCGATCGGCTTATCCATGTCACCCGAACAATCAGGAGAAGCTTCCTCGGCAGGGAGAGCAACGTCGGTAATGTTTATGAAAGTGGCAAATTCGGTCTGATTGGTACCGACGAAGTCCTCACCGGTCTTGACAACAGTCTCGTCGGATTTGAAGGTGGCATTGGAAGTGGACGTAAGGAAAGTGGTAATCTTCGTTGAGGGATGGAAAAGAGGGTCTTCGGGCTGGTAAGTTGCAGCAATGATAGTGAAGATTAAGACGCCCAGTACGAAGAGCGCGAAGCAGAGGTTTCCAATCATTGCAAGTGCATTTTGCCCCAAGTTTTCCGGCCGGAAACTTCCGGATCTAGAGAACGACGAGCGACCAAACATTTTTTCCAGATCACAGAAACCCTAGGCCAATGGTGCTGGAATCTCAAACGATCAGGGTAAATGTAACAAATAAATTTACAACCAAGTGAGCAAAAGAGAGAACTATAGACCAAGGATGTAGCGCTAAATCTTCCCGCGAAGAGCACCGACAATGCAAAACAAGTGAAATTATGTTCAAAAGATCGAACTCTGTATTTGCTGGAGAGCTCAAAGGGGTGCAATAAGAAAATATACACTGCAAAGGAAACAAAAAAAAAAGCACTAGGAATAAGAAATCTAGGGTTGCTGGATGAAGAGATGCACTAATATCTTCAAACTAGTCCAAAAGGAATTAAATGTCAAGGTTTTTCTTTCCTCCTCCAAATCACCTGAAACTGACAGGCGCTTAGAGAGACGAACTGGAAACAAAGAATAAAAGAAAAATATGCACATAAAGCTAGAGATGCGGATGAGATGAAATGATGATAAGAAGATCTAAGGAGAGACCTGTTAAAGGAGATAGAAATCCACACAGATCTAATTATAAGACTATCTCTATAACCAGTTATTCTAATTCGAGAACGAACTTCCGTCGTACCTTTCTTTTAACATTCACCTGGAAACAAAAACGAGCTCAATCAGATGTTCTTCCCATCCCTGTTCTGTATCTCACAGTCATCACAGTCGTCAACATCTGAGCTCTGCAGCTCTGCTCTTTTCACTCTCTCACCTTCTCTCTCTCTGTCTCTCTCTATCTATGTCTCTGTCTGTGAGAGGTTAAATGGTGATAAGAGGCGATGATGACATTTGATTAAAGTATAGATACGGTGATTAGAGATGATGATGACATTTGATTACAATCTTAATACTCGTTCTTATCATAAGCGGGATGCGCATTGCGCATGCCCTGCATTTCTGTTTACGTCCATTACGCATTGTATGGGGACCGTTTGTTAAGTGACAACTTTACAATAGGATAAAATGGTAAAATGATGAGGGATAAAAGTGGTCACTCCGACGTCTCAACAATCAGTTATCAAACGATCCGTATAAAAGTAGAACTCATCAATCATCATTTTCTAGCCCGGCTTGATTGGGCCACAAAATATACATGGCATATGGACTATAAATGCGTCATTGGGCCCAGGCCCGAACTAGGCGAGCGTATGAATTCGAATTTGCTCCTCACACTTACACCAACCTCACAACATGTTTCAGCCGTGCATCTAGAATATTTCCGTAATTATAAATTTTTATTCATGAAAAATGTTTCTAATGCACGAGGTCGGTGTGGAGTGCACTTTGTGAGGAGCAGATTCAAACTCATTATAGATTGAGTGGGAGTTCGTGACGTAATATTGATGGTCAAAACCATTAACAAAGAGCAAGGCAAACCTAAATTGACATGGATCCACTCTATCAATACTTTTTAGCAATAGGGATGATCAGATTTGCTTGAGTTCTTATTGCTTGGCCTGCCCAATTCAAATTCAATATTATATACATGGTTCAACTATGATACAAAAAGACATGATATCAGAAAAACTTATAACCAATTAATCGGCACCACTTATCTGGTATCATATTTTTTCGGCTTCATGATTTTCCTAATATGCACTATATATGATAAAATTTCAAATCATCATCATTTAAGCCTTGTACCAACTATATTAAATCAACTACATGAATCTTGTTTTGCCATTTTGTTTTATTCAGTGGCACATACATGGTAAAATTTAGGGTAGTTAAATCATTTCTTATTATTTTCACCCAAGTCCTTTTTTATTTGTCCCTAGCTGTTTTAGCACCTTTAACTTGCCACATGTCACTTCTTTCCGACAGGTATCATAAATGGTCTTTTATGCACATAACCATACCCTTTTGATCTACTTTATCTCATTCTATCACTTATTAGAGTTATTCCTAGGTTCTTTTATATGGCTTTATATTCTAACTTGTTCTTCTTAATTTTACTACTCTCCATATTTAAGCATATATTCACATTTTTACTATACTCAATTTTTTTAATATATTTGAAATAATGTTCATTGACTTATGTTTAAATTAAGCTTTTGGCAATACCAACCTTATTACTGCATGGTCCAAGTCACTTTTAAGTAAGGGTGTCAATGGACCGGTTTTGGATATGGATCTCGTCCAGTCCAAAATCAATTTAGACGGATTGGACAGACCAACAAGACATATTGGATTGGATCAATCCGGTCCAAAATATTTATTAGATTGGATTGGACTTGGTCCATCCGTAATAAATTTATATTGGATTGAGTTGGATTAAACCAATATCTGATCCATTAATATAAGATAAGAATATAGGTGTCAATGGACTAGATTTGAGTTAAAACCAATCTAAATCAAAACAAATTTGAACAAATTAGATGATCCATACATTGAATTAAACCAATCCAAAATGATCTAAAATATTCATTGGATTGGATTGGACACCAAATCCAATCCAATTGACAACCCTACTTATAAGCCATGGAGGGATAGTAGTGTTGTATCCAATATTACAAGCATGAATTTTAATACCAATCTCTTATACATATTATACGGTTTCAGTAATATATATAATATCAAAAAGACAAAAAAAATAATCCTATATAATTCAAGCTGTCTTCACTCTCTCTCTCTCACCACAACACAACTAATTAAAAGAAGTTCCAAATTCCAAAAGATCACTCAACTCGTACAGAATATATAAATTTCTTCTGGTTACTCTTAGTCTTCAGCCGGGACCTTCTCATGGGAAATGATGGCTCTGTACAAATTAAGTAAATCATAAGAAAACCAAGTCAATGCATGCATAGATATGGAGAGAATCAATATAAACTATGAGCTTGAAATCATGACAATGAAATTATTTTTTGATTGGGGTGATTTTAACTGGACCTAGATTGACCCTTAAAGGACCAATATCTGATATGATTTATTTTCTAAACACATGCACTGACCAGCAATCTAGATCCATATTTGATGAGGAGTTGGATCCAATTAGGGGTGTCAATGGATCGGTTTTGAATTGGAATCTGTTCAAACCAAAATCAATTTGGATAGATTGACGGACCAATAAGGCATATTGAATTGGATCAGTTCAGATTGTTGCTTTCTTCATTCTTTTTGGATTGGGGTGATTCAACTGGACCTAGATTGACCCTCAAAAGACCGATATCTGATATGATTTATTTTCTAAATACATGCACTAACCAGCAATCTAGATCCATATTTGATGAGGAGTTGGATCTAATTAGGGGTGTCAATGAACCAGTTTTGGATTGGAATCTGTCCAAACCAAAATCAATTTGGACAGATTGACGGACCAATAAGGCATATTGAATTGGATCAGTTCAGACTTAATGGTCCAAAATATTTATTGGATTGAATTGGATCTGATCCATCTGTAATGAATTTATATTGGATTGTGTTGGATTGAGACAATATCTAGTCTATTGATAGAAGGAAGATAAGAATATGTGTCAATGGACCAAGTTTGAATTAAAATCAATCTAAATTAAAACAAACTTGAACAGATTAGACGGATCCAAAATATTTATTAGATTGGATTGGATTGGACCTAGTCCATTTGTAATGGGTTCGATCACATTGGACTGGATCGGGTTGGACTAAATCCGGTCCAATTGACACCCCTAGATCCAACTATTTTTAATTAAGAAGATTCAAATGAGAGTTTTTCTAATGGAAAGGGTTAATTAATTGGTACCAGAGCTGCAAACCATGTCGCTGGAGACTGGCTTCCTGTAGATTTGGCTGAGTAGGCTGGAGACGGTAAGGGTGAATCTGGGGAGAGAAAGTAGAGAGCTGAAGCATATTTCTCCCTTGATCCTCAGCATAAAGTCCGAAATGATCCAAAACTGGCTGTTGTTCCATGTTCTTCTGCTCTAACAAAACTTGTTGGTGATCCATTGCCGCTTGATGCTCTGCAATCTAATTAATTAACCATGACCCACAATAGTTAATTAACATACGCGCATCAATTTCTTTTCAATCCAAAGCAAGAAGATTTTTCTACTTTTCTACACTATAATCAGCCCAAAATTGGATAGTCAAAAGGCTAGCTGCATTTGGTTGCAGTGCTGTGCATCTTGACAGGTGCAAAATTTGTACCCGGTTCAATGAGTTTGCATTTCCAGGTACTGATACAGAATTTGCACCACATTTCTCCTACCTCAATTCTTTCTCGTATATAAGTGGTGACTGCATTATCTTGCATCCTACCTTCTACCTCAATTCTTTCTCTTTCATTTCATTTAAAGTGGAAGGTCACTTCAATAGACTCAGCCCTTTTTGTACTCGCATATGTATTTACACCAGTGCAAATTTCAACCAAACCGAGCCCAAATAATGTTTTTTGGACTACAAAAGGTATGATATAGTAACGTAGGAGAAGGAAAACAGCTCAGAAACTTACACAACGGTACAAGTAGTTGTTCTGGTCCTGTAAGATTTGCTCCTGCATGCGCACGTAGACAACAATAATAAATTATCAAGAGAGAGAGAGAGAGAAAGAATGAATTAATTTTACCTTCCTACGTAGATTGTCTAGTTGTTGTTGCAGGAGCTGATTCTGTATGTTGAATCAAAAAGAAAAAGAAAATTCAGCGAAAGAGGCTGACTGCTGGCACTTAATTAGTATTACACAACTCATGAATCAGATCTATAAAGAATTAACTAGTTAGTAGAGACTTGATTGAGAGAAGAAGAAGAAGCAAATTAAAAGCTACGTAGGTACGTACCTTCCTGGCTCGAACCTTGTTAACAGAGTTTTCAAGTTGCTCTTCAAGCTGATGCAGGTCATTATAAGGTAGAGAGGCCAAGTCCTCTCCACTGAAGTGTCGCATGCTTGCCTGTAGCTTATCGGTTTCATTTCTCATCCTTGTCACCTCGTTGTATATTTGCTGTTACGTACATTCATTTCAACATATTAATTAGATCAATACAAATTACAATTAAATTAAAGGACACCCAGAAACGGAACCGTTCTGACCACTTGTTTTTGGATCAATGGTTTGATCGATTAATTTGAATGGACAGTTCATTCTAACAATAAAAATTAAAAAAATTAAAAAATAAAAAAAAAACAATTAAAACTGTTAAATGGGTCAATGGTTCAATCGTCTGAATCAACAGATTATTAACCGATTTAACGGTTTTTGACTAGAGACTGAGTTTGGGGTAAAATAAAACTGGTTGCCTGGATGATTCTTGGGCCAAACGATCCAACCATTCGGGTCAATGCCAATATATATATATAAAGAGTTTGTTAATTGTTATTTCACCAAATGGTTAAACCGCTGAATGATCCACTGACCCGGAGAGACAAATGGTTCAACCTCCAAGGCTGGGTTTTGAAACACTTAACCATAGACACATGCAGCTAATTAAGTTCGTTATAGATAGAGGCTAGTCTATATATGAGCCTGCAGTTCATACATACCAGCTGGTTACCATACTCCTGAATACGAGTTCCTGAGACCTTTTGATACCTCTCAATGATTTGTTGCATGCTGTAGCAGGCAGAAATTAAGATGTTGGAATAATGTAAGTGAAAGGTTAATGAGTCCATTATACAATCATGGATGATATATGGATGCCTTTGCACATAAATTGTTAAATTTCCGAGTATTAATGTGTTTCTATAGTTCTATTTAGGGTCCTATATATATATTGAGTTGGAGATTATATTCATTCTCTCCCATTTGATTTTTTTCTTATTTGTATTTCATCCATTAATTAACTATTGATCAAATAATCCCTTGATAAATTTAATTAAAGTATTTTTCTCTTAGTCTAGGGGATCAACCGAACAGATACAACTAAATTTTTACTATTAAAAGTATGAACAAATTTCACATATATATATAATTGAAAAGAAAAAAGTTTGCTTAAAATTTATACTCAAGATATATTTTATTATAAATTTAATATCATTATTTTGTTTGTAAATATGATAAAATAGTACTTATATATGCTACAAAATTCACTTTAATTATTGAAAAACTAGGTTTTATGTACCCTCCAAGAAAAAAAAAACAAATTTAGATGCTGATTTGTTGACTGGTTGCATCACTTGTTTTAAGGGGAAAATAAATAGTAGAATTTACTCAAAATAAAGTCTGAAGAGACAAAAAACAAAAGACTTTGGTCTTTTGGTTAATTAGACATTTACAATTAAACAAGTAATAGGTTGGAGAAGTCCTAACTAAAGCTATTTAATCGCCTAGATTCTTATGCATATATAACACCAATAATTAAAGTAGGAAATTGCATTGTTAGCCTAATTGTATAAATGTCTTTGCTAAGAATGGCATGCATATCTGTAATTTACTACATCTATAGACAAGTATTTCAACACACAGAGACACTCTCTTAAAATAGTATGAATTAGTAGATACTAAATGGTATTGCTGAGTAGAGAATATCAATTTATTACAAGACATAAAATCAATGGGGTGTTCTCCAATGTGAATTGTTTTTCTTGTTACAAGTTTCCAAAAATGAAACATAACCATCTGATTTGAAAACAATTGGTTCTTAAAACAAAAACACAGAAAACATGGTTATTCAATATCGTGTTCCATAAATCATATAAACCATTTTGATGGTTTAAAAAATGTATTGATTTTTGAAATGAACCCAACTTTTTTTTTGATTTTCAAGATAATAAAAACAAAAAACAAAAAACAGTTCAAAAAAACAAAAACATTGATGTTATAGAACACCCCCTAAATTGTCCCATCACAATATTATTTGGCAGACAATCATAAGAATGCAGGTTTGAGTCTGAAAGTGGCCACTTGACACAAGAAAATGCCAAAGGTTGGTTAGGTTAGTCTCCAGTCCACCCCTCCCAAGAGCCTGGATGAATTTGGGAAATGGCTCTTAGGGCTCTACTCTACCATGGTCATGTAAAAATTTCAAAAAAAAGAAAAAAACTGGAAAATGGAAAATAACATCATTTAAAAAAATACACAACCATTAACACATAGAGTTTTGATCTACTTTGACTATGGGCATTGAGGTGAATGATGTAATTAATTAGGAAATGTGGCATTGAGGTGAATAATGTAGGACTAGATTGTATAGTATTTATTTATTTAATCAGATCCTCTGTCATGATAAATTAATCTTAATTTACTTTCTATATACACAAACACTATGCAACAGTTACTAATTAACTAGCTAGATCTAATCAGGTTGAGAATAAAAAATAATATTCAAGCTTTCTTCCGTATGTATTAATATTTAATAAAATGTGGTGCATGAAGATTTGATATAGAGTTATTTTAGAGAAAACAGATGTTTTTCCATCACATGGACTGATCACTATGGTCAATCAACAGCATAATCTGATTGGAGTGACCATTATTGGTCACTCTGAGCTAATTAGATGTAGACTCAGCACATTTTGTTCTTTCTTATATTGTTTATACATATTTTTGAAAGTCCCAACAAAAGAAAATCACAAGGTCAACCAAATTTATATATAAATGAAAGAAAGATTGATTAAGAACATTAAAAAACTAATCTCATTACTGTTACAATTTTTGTACTGATCATATCAAAAGCTCAAAACAACTGATCAATTTGAAACCAAACAACTTGATTCAACGGAACAATTTGCAGTAAAGCAGAATTTGAATATTCAAATGTATAAATCATGTTGCCAATAAACAATGTCATCAAAGTAGAAACTGCAACTACTTCTAATTAAATTTCATGCTAAATAGTAGATATACGGTGGAGGAGAAGAGAAAGAAGTATGGCAATTAAGGTTGATTCTATCTGAAATCAAAAGAAAGAAATATAAAATTCTACAACCATAGAGTGTAGTGATGTATCATTGTTTCTTGCCTCAGAAAAAGAGCTAAATTCCAGGTAATTAGCAACTTTCTCTTGTAGCTTTTGAATAAGAAGAGGAAAAATGTATATTGATGATGACTTCCATGTATCCAATATTCATCCTTAGAAGAAGATACAGTAGTGCAATAATATATAAATCAAGTAGAAATCACCAATCAATTCCATAAACAGAACTCATGAAAAAAAAAACCCTATAAAAATGTAATCCTTCAGAGTTATTACGACAAAACAATAAAAGAGTAGTACTTAAGGTACGGATCAAAGAGAAATTTTCATGCAATAAACTCACGGGTCAAAGAAGGAAGTCCTGAGAAATAATTTGAAATGAGCCAATTTCAAAAGGATAAATAAAGAACAAAATTGATAATTAATCAACAGCAGTACAGCACACAGAAGAGAGAGAGAGAGAGAGTGGGGATTCAATGAAACATTTACATAACCAAGTCTTAAATAAATAACAGATACACAATATTAAGAAAATTTTATTAGATGATGATGATTTTCAAAGTAGAACTGCACTGAGAATATTTCAGTGGAAGATACAACTAATTAAAACAACATTCAGAGAGAAATCCAAGTGCACAATGCAGCTAGAGGAAGAAGAAAAAAAGAAATTCTGAAGCCTACAGACCTGGAATGTGAGCTGCAGTATTCGTACATCTTGCCAGTACTCGAGAAGATGATGAGCCCAAGGTGGGCATCACATAGCACAGAAAGCTCATGGGCCTTCTTCATCAGCCCTCCCCGGCGCTTCGAGAAGGTGACTTGTCTGTTGGTTGAATTCTCAATCTTCTTGATCTCTATCTTTCCCCGCCCCATAATTATCCAACAGTGGAGGCTTGTCTCTCTTCTTGTTAGGGAAAGAGAAAAGAATGGGAAATTTGACCTTTTTTCGTGTTTGATTTTCCTGGTTTCAGTGCAGAAAAAAAAAAAGAAAATCAATTGTAGAAATCACGAGAGAAGGCACAAACATGGAGGTTTTGATTTTTGGCAAGAAAGCTTAATTTGGGTGAGGTTTAAATAAGGATTAGCAGGCACAAAGAGCTGTCATCAAAAGTGGAAACTTAGTTTATGAAAACAAAAACGATGATTTCATGTATATATATATATATATATTTAGATTGTAGAGGAGGAACAATGAGAGGTAGACAGAGTAGGAGAGAAAGGAGGAAGAGAAAGCTGGGTTTTGAGATTGTGGTTACCTGTTCTTGCTTGCTTTTCTTGTTGGTGCAGAGTGCTTGGAATGAAATGTGCTGTGCAATTTAAAAAAGAAGGCAACCTAAAGGTTTCCAAATGACTCATTCTTTCCAAGAAAATCACCAAAATGCACTTCATTATCAATGAGAGAGAGAGAGATAAACATGGTTTGCTGTAAAATAGTGCTTAAGTAATCTTAATAATCCAATTTGTGGGAATATATATATTTTTTCTTTCTGAAGTATTAACTATTAACCACTTTTTGTTTGGCCGTTAAAGTTTAGTCCTTCAACAGATCTTTATAAGTTAGAATTAACAGTTTCTTTGTCACTCTTAGGATGATTTCTTCACTGCTATATATATTTGTGGTTGGTTGATCCACAAGATGATCTAAGGGTTATATTACATGGATCAGTCATCAGTGGTGTGGGGAGGTCTTATTTTCTGCAACACAGCAATCTCCACTATACAAGCATAACATGAAATCATGCCCAACAGAGATGGCATTTATGTGATTTCCAATCTGAACTGGTCTTACTTCCAGACCCTCTAAAGAAAGCATGAAGAAAAGTTTGCTGTGACTGTTAACCACCACTGCTCTGATCTGCCAAGCAAGCTTCCTGGGTGCATACTAATTTGGTTAAACTCTTCAGATGTTAGAAAACCAGGGAATACCCAGAAAAGGAATGATGTGGGGATTGGCCAAAACCCTAGACCCAATGGGAAACGACAGAGCGTCACATTACCTGAAAGACTTAGAATTTCCTTGTCAAGTATTTGGTTCATGGTTTTTGTCATTGAGCTTTTTCCACATCTGGGTATTAGAGATAAAAGTCACTGAGATTCTACACTTGACTTTAATGCACTAGTGTCTGTTTAGCCAAAAGACTTGAGTGTCCCAGTTTTGTTTGATTTTAACCATAACATCATCCAGACTAATTCTAACACCCTTTCATTATTTGAAAAGTCATTTATTTAGGTTTAAAATCAAATCAAATATCTTCTTATCTGTGCAATACTTATGATCGATGCTCTTATTAGCACTAAGATGAATTGGGTTTAATTTGCTCCAGTATCATCTCCGAGTATAAAGAAGAAATCATCTAGGGAGATTCAAAATAATCAACAGAAAATGCACTTGCACTTCTCAATGGTTATTATGGTCTAAGTTTTGAAATTTCATTAGTGCAAGTAACATTTAATTGCTCAATATCTCCTTTTTTATTCTAGTAATTTCTTTATGTGTTCCAACAAATTAATATAATCATGCTTGGAATCAAGCATTTACAGGCATTTTAATAGTTTATATTTATATTATATTATAGTAATTAATTAAGAATAACACCCACGTTGGTAGCATTTTCAATTGATCAATAGGCAGATCCTAACATGCACTGTTAGAGGAGCCAATCACTGTTCTTTTAGCTACGTTTGGTTTGAAAGAAAAAGTAGGGAAAGGAAAGGAAAGGTAAAGAAACGTTTACAAACTTTGTATATGTTTCCCTACCTTTTCCTTCAAATCAAACATAGCCTTAGGGTTTCTGTAGCAGTTCTGGATCCCTACTTCATGGGGGAGACCAATCTACTTCAAAACTTAAAATATAAAATCAACCCCTTACTCAGACAGATGCTTAGTTTTAAATTAAGGGTTCAGTACTATTTATCTTTCTTTTTTTTTTTCTTCAAACTTTCTAATAAGCCAAGAATATATATCTTGCAGATGTGTTTAAGAACCATTTTCTGGCCTTTTACTAAAGGAGGGGTGTCTATAAGACAACAAGACTATTTTGGAAATCACAGCTCTATCCAGTCTCCATGGTTATGTAAACCCAAACCTAGAAGACAAAACATGTGAAGGGTTTCTTGAAGAAGAAAGCTAGGGTCCAGTGCTTGGTCCCCTCCGTTTTGTTCTTGTACTTTCTTTCTCAGCCTCATGGAATCCCACTTCAGTCTGCAACTTTATTATCTTATACTTCTTTTCTATTCATTGAACCCCATGTATAATATCTTCTCTCTCTCTCTGTGTTTGCGTATGTGGGTGTCTATATATATAGTCTGTGAGTAAATGTGCGATGTGTAGCTTCCAACTGGTATTGGACCTTCATGAGCTCACCAACCTGTTTCTTTTAGAGCTGCTAGTTCGGTTCAAACCTTCAACTAAGAAGGAAGTCATTCAATTCGGAACCCTAAAATATTAATAGAGAAAAGTGGTTCATTGTAGATTCTAGTCTTCTGATAAGATAAGATCAAAACAGGAGGAGAAAACCAGGTATCTCGACCTTGTAATTAATTACTTTATATGGGCATTTAATCAAGTAGAGATGGATTCCATAAGCATAAATCTCTTTTTCTCAGCTCAAGGGAGGTGCTGTTGTGGTACTTAGTAGATAAATTCAAGGGATTTTCTTGACAAATCTCGAGGTGGGTGTTACTTAATCTCGAATCAAAGGATTGAAAATGTTAGAGAGAAACCTAGGGAAACATTTCAGTGAGAAATCTCGTGGAGGATTTTCTCCGAAAGGAGCAAGGAGACGTTTAGGGTTACAAGATTGATGACACCTGTGTGCACCCATGATTATCTAAACCTACCCCACAATGGAAAGCTGCAGAGAATAATGGCAAGGGTTTCCCTAAAATGGATGTCCTTGTTGTGGTCCGAGTTGGTTTTACGTCCACTTCATTTCTCTTTTGGGTACATGCCCCGCCCCGTGGTCTTTCTGGCCTTCCAAAATTCAGGCCCATTCTTTTTTCTTTTCATTAATGTAAATGGAGAGAGAGAGATGGATTGTGTTCTCTAATGGATGCTGTATTCTTCAATTTTTTCTCCAACAAGGATCCAAGTCAACAATATGCAAGCTCCTACAGAGATTATGGTCCATAATCAAAGTTAATCTCTCTCTCTCTATTTATCTTTATATGCATCGGAGACCAGATCTTCTCCTCGCAAAGGGCACCTCACACCGACCTTACATATACATCCCACCGTGTTTTGGGAACATCTTATTTACTTATGTGTTATTATTTACAGGAGATGTTCCCAATGCACGATGGGGTGTGCCTGTGAGGTCGTTGTAAGACGCCCCATGTGAGAAATAGATCCGAATTCTTTATATGGCCTACTCTTGAATTGAATTCCTCTCATGTGATATTAAGTTAGGGGGCTTAGTTAAAGTGATTTAGGTTGTGTTTTGGTACACATGAAACGTTTTGAATTGATCTATACGAATTGGTGAGACCAATTGATGGTGTCTCTCTTGTCTGACTGGTTGTAGTGGAGACTAGGGATTAAATCTGTTGCCACCAGGGGAATTATCGGTTAACGTTTCAAGTCGAAACATCAATAATATCAGAAGACATTTCCAGCCAAGTTGAGGTCTTCTACCAACAAGACACATTCCAACCCTATACCAACTTGATCTAACTCCACATGTTCCATCATAATATTGGGACCCACTATAAAAGTGGGACTCGCCATGTATGACATGTGCGGTGTAAGATCACGTTGGTAGAGGGTTGGAACGTGTTTTCTTGGCAGATGATCCATACTATTTCTAGCCATTGTTGCCAATTAAAATCACTAATTAACCCAAAAAATTTTGTCCATGATTCGCAGATTTGTTTTGACGTTATCAAAATCGACAGTTGCAATGGTATTAAACCCAACAATCAGGACGACTTTGGGTCAAGTCAAGGCAATTTTAGGTCGGGTCGGAAAAAGCTAGACTCTTAACATTAAATATTCATGTTAAGATTGACCCATGGGTCAGAGGGTCAATGACTCAACCACCTAAGTCAACTGATCTTTGACTAAATCTGATATAGTGGTATTTAGCCGATTCACAAATCTTGACACGTGACGTCGGTCGGACGTATCCTAGCCACCCATCACCAACCACTGCCAACCGTTGCCACCTGCTCCCAACTATTACTCTCAAGCAACTCTGACTATAAAGAGGGGTTCCCACATTGAGGTAAATACACACTGGAACTTTAGCTCTAAGTCCCCTCTCTTGCTTGGTCCGACCCCTCACAGCTATCGACTAATTTGACCATTGGAGTCTCCGCTCCTGAGATAACTCCCGTGGCCTTTGACATCTTTTTTCTCTCAATAGGTTGGACTTGTCGACCTTGGACACTGGAAATTACATTGTTGCCCTTGGCTCCATATTTGGCAGCAACAATTGGCGTTGTCTGTTGGAAAATCCTTTAAAACTTTCCCTCAAGAAAAATTAATCTAACTTAATCGACTAGCGTCCCTGAAATGGATGACAAGCAACACCTTGTCCTTGACGTTCAAAACTTAGTCACAATCAACCAGTTCAAGATGGTCCTAAGCAGGCTGGACAACCTAGCCTAGCAATTAGACAACATAGGGCGCACAACAGGAAGCCACCCGCCGGAAGCCACAAACAATGTGGATGGTGATCCGCCCATACCTTGCTTGCTCCCCAACTGAGTGGGCAACCCTATAGGATTCCATGCTGATCGCAAGAATCACGATTATCAGCACTGTCCCCCGCCAATCTCTGACCTTCGTAACCTCCTCAGTGATCGCTGTGCTCACAAGGCTCAGGACGTGCCGATGTCCGAGCACTCCAGGAACAAGGTTGGCCCTTCCCGCG